TTTTTTTTGTAGTCATTTTTTCAATAAAAAAAAAAAATTAGAAAATTTTTAAATGTCGGCTAACTTAATTTTCAAAGCAAAATTTATAATAATACAGTTAGCCGACATTTTAGATTTTTTTATTTTGCTTAATTTATTAAATTATAACTAAAAGATATTTTTAAAAAATTGCACTTATAGTTTATGAAGTTTTTAACAAATGAAAAATTTTTTTTTTTATTTTTTTGTAATAATTCTTTAATATAAAAAATCATAAAAATTTTCAGATGTCGGCTAATTTTATTTTCATGCAAAATTTTATTTATTTATACTTTACAAGTAACGGCAGTCACATAGTTATTTATTAATTAAATTAATTTATTAGAAATGATAACTTATTATTAATTATTACCTTTTTACTTTTTTTTTTTTGTTTTTTTTTTTTGTCAATTAAAACTACCAGCGTTGACAGCTTCCAGAAGAATGCGACTGATTAATAAAAAAAATAGAAGTAATAGTAAAATTAAACGGCTTTTTGATTCTTGGAAGAAATAGGCGGAGTCATCCCCCTAAATTTATAAAAGCAATTAAAATTTTATTTTGCAATATAATTTTATCAGAAAATATGTTTTAAAAATAATTTCTTTAATTTTTAAACCTCACAATCCATTAATATTTATTAATTAATAGTTTAATAATTAAAATATTGTTAATAATAATAATTAATTGTTGCTATAAGAAATGAATCCGCAAATTTATTTCTGCGGGCTTTTTCATTGGTCACGTTCGGATCTCACATTGGTCTCTCGACACTAACGCCATCTCTAATTGACAGCTCAAGCTATTTAAAAAAACCTCATATTTATTTGATACGTGTGTGGTATATATTTATATATATGTCTAATTCACAGAATTCACTTGAACAAAAAAAGTAAAAAAAATTTATTTTATTGTTAATTACATAAATCATTGAAGGAGTAACAAGTGCGTACGTGCAATCACTATTTTAATATAAAGCTTCCAAAAAACATTTACTCAAAATGATTTATAAAAAAATTTAAATAAATTTGTAAATGTATCTTGTTGATGTTTACGTACTTTAATTATAAATGTATTGTTTACAAATTATTGTTTTTGTAATTGTTTATTCTAAATAGACATTTATGATTTATTTAAACAATTATTGACAATAATGGATAAAAGTAGTAATAACTTTATTAGTTATGTTGGTATGGAAGAGCATGAGATGCAGGTATTTATATTTTATTATTAATTTTTAATTATAGATATTCTAAATTTAGAGTCATTTAATTATTTGTTTCTTTTCCCAGCAAATAAATTCCAGTAGGAGAAATTCTGTGAATGATAATAATGTAAAACTGCTACCAGGTGAAGTAGTAATAGCAGAAGCTCAGAGTGTGTTGATGTTTTCACCAGTGAGTGATTTAAAACAGGGTATTTCGGGCATACTCGCGGTCACTAATTTTAAACTAACATTTATTACTACTGAAGATTCCAATTCTGAGGTAAATATATTTTTTTTATAATTTGATATTAAAGTTTTAGCTGTCACTTGACCATTTTTTAATTTTATTTAACAAAAAAATTATTTAAAAAAAAAAATTGCATTTTTAATTTATTAAATTTTCTATATGTCAATTTTTTTTCTTATTTTTTTTATGCCGTAATTTATTTATTAAAAAAATCATTAAATATCTGCTGAATTAATTTTCATTTTTATAATACTAAATTTAGCCGACGTTTTCAATTTTTTATTTATTAAATTAGAACTTAAAAACATTTTTCAAAAATTGCACTGATAGTTTTTCAAGTTTTTTACAAATGAAAATTTTTTCAATAAAAAAAAATTCTAAAAATTTTTAGATAGCGAGTAATTTAATTTTCATAGTATTTTTTCTTCATGAAAATATAATAAATATTAAATTTAAAAATTTTTAGGACATAAATCGTCAGCAAAATCATTTTTATAGATATACAGACTCATGCCTAACGAACATCGACGAAATTTACTTAATAATAGGCGATAAAAAACGTAAATTAATGCCTGGTAGTACAGTACCCTCAAAAGTAAAGGGTATTTTTATCGTTTGTAAAGTAAGTACTCGATCGCTTTATAAATAAATGAATAAATAATTTAAATTGATATTTATATTAAATTTACTGCTGATAGAATTTTAGGACGTGGTCATTTTCATTTAAATTTTCACCAGTCGGTCACGGAAAAAATTTATTAACAACTCTTCTGCATCATGCATTTCCTCGTCGGCATCAATTATTATTCGCCTATGATTACAAGTAATTTATTTGAATTTATAATTCACTATTTAATCAGTGAATTAATTTTAATTTACCATTGCTTGCAGAGAACCGTATTACAGTAGCGTAGATAAAAAAGTAAAGCTATTTCGCAGCATGAGCGACTGGCAAAATGAATTAAACCGTACGTCTTGCAATAATGAGCATACGAAAAAAAACTGGAGGTTGTCGTCTGCTAATTTGCGATACCAATTATCAACTAGGTAAAAAATATTATACAAAAAAAATCTGAAAAATTTAATTACTAATAAATATTTAATTAGCCTTCCAGAGTATATTATAGTACCCGCTTCAGTGACAGACAGCCAATTGACTGGGGCAGCCTCGCACTTTCAAGACAATCGTCCTCCAGTATGGTCCTGGTCGAACCGCCGCGGCGCGGCTCTGGTTAAGATGTCTGAGTTGATACCCACGATATCAGAACGTACTCAAGAAAATATTATGCTGGAGAATATTCGAAAAAGCCATCCCCAGAAGCTAGCAATGGCCGTACTGGATTTAAATAAAGATGTTAATGTTAAAACTGTTGCCAATGGATTTTCTAAATTTATTTCTCTTTGTTCACCAGGTATAAGATGACAAAAATTATTATCAAGTATTTAAATTAATAAATTTATTAATTACAGATAACATAAGACAATTTTGGCTACAAGACAATAATTTCTATTCGTTATTAGAAAGTACTAAATGGTTGAAATTTGTCTCTTACTGTTTGCAAAAAGCCGTCGAAGCTAGTGACCATTTAAATTCTGGTACTTCTGTTATCCTGCAAGGTAATTCTATAAAATAATTAAGGCAGTTCACTCGAGACATATAGTTTGTGCTATTTCTTTCCTTTTCACTCGCTAGTGCTGCTTTTTTTCACGAGTTATTTCTTATTTGCTTTTACTGATGATTATTTTTGTTTAACTAGCCGGTTTATTAACAATTTATAAAAAACTACATGGTAAAAATTTTCAAAATTTCATTGGATTATTTTAAGTATATTTGAGTATATTATTCTAACAGGTATCAGTTTTTTGAAACGATTTTAAAATCCTTTCAATTCAATAACCATTAATATTTGTAATTTTATCATTCTCCACCCATACTGTCTGTGCTAAAATGTCATTTTTAATTACAATTATCTCATTTCTGGTATGGTCAATTGATTTCAAATTTCAACAGCACATGTAATGCGTATTCTATTACCCATATTTCAAATTTCAAAAACTTCTTAAGGGGCACAACTAGTGTAACAGCACTATTAAAATTAAAAAAACTCCTGTATGAATTTTTTAAAAATTTTAAGGGCTTATTGATACCTATTTTAAGAATATACAGTAAAATTTTTGATGAAGAAAATTAAATATTTTCCGAGTTACACGCAATCTCGGAGGCCGCTAAAAAAAAGTCCTCCACTGCTGGAGTGATTCCGGCCTTCTCCGTGGATAAGACAAAAAAAAATTCTCGTTAAAATAGAAGATATTGTCCGTACGATGATTCAAGGTCGAAAAAAATATCAAAAATTGACAAAATGGCGGTGTTTAAAAAAAAAAGTTGAATTTTTCCCTAAATTTTGGTCGTTTTTGGCCTGCCAAAATTCGATTTTTTATCAGATCAAAAAACTGGCGGATCATCGTATAGAATTATGTACAGAACATGCAGAAAAAAATTTGGCAACAAATTCGAAAAATGCTGTTTCGAGAAAAACACGTTTTTCTATAGCTAATGCAACGATCTAACTGCCAAGCGGCTACCTTGAAATGGCTGTAACTCAAAAACTATTTGAGGTATCGATTTAAAATTTGAGTATGTTATTTTTAAAGGTTTAATCTACCGAAATATGAAAAAAAAAAAAAAATCGATTTTTTGAAAATTTCACAATGGTTGTGCTCCTTAAAATTTTGCATTTATGACCGAACTACCTTATTAAATCTGACTTGTTTATTTTGAAAATTTAATTAAAAATTATATTTTTAGAAAATGCTGGAAGAGATTTATGCTGCGTAATATCAAGTTTAGTTCAATTAATACTCGACCCGTACTTTAGGACAATAACTGGGTTTCAAACGCTGCTCCAAAAAGAGTGGGTAGCTGCTGGTCATCCTTTTTGTGACCGTCTAGGTCACATTATTAAACCAAACAGTGAAAAGTCCCCGATTTTTTTGATCTACCTCGATTGCGTCTGGCAATTGTGTCAGCAGTATCCATCAAAATTTGAATTTACGGAAACTTATCTAACAAGTTTGTGGGACACTGCTCATGTATCAATTTTTGATACATTTATTTTCAATTGTGAAAGAGACCGTACTAATGCAGCAACGGTAATTATTTATTACCACAAATTTATATAGTAGAAAAATAAAATAAAAAATTATTTTTCAGGACATTAACAATCCGCTGGTTTTAAGAAGTGTCTGGGACTGGAGAGAACAGTTTACTGACCAGGATATTTTATTATTCTACAGCCCATTTTTCAATTCAGCCGACGAGGAAAAATATCTCAAGCCCCAGTTTAGTGTCTCTTGCCTCGAGCTTTGGACCCAGTGCTATTTTCGTTGGATTCCTCCGTTAGAAATTCGAAATGGAGGTAAAAATCACTCAGAACTGTACGCCCGTTTGCTACAAAACAGCATAAGTCAGTTAAAAGTAAACATAAACGGGAATTGCGGCTCGCCTGTTGACAAAATAAATACTTTTTTAGTGCAAATGAACATCAACAGTTTTTATCCGTTCGGCAACAAACACTCGGGCAACACTGTTAGTACTCCGATAATGAATAATTCAATGCTCATGACCGAGAGTTTTATTGACGCACAGTCATTGCTTACTGCACCAGACTGATATTTGTTATTCTAATAAACCAAGTCTATTTATTTTTTTTATCTTTAAATTTGTGTGTACGTTTTTGTTCATTTTTTAGAGGCTCTCAGATTTTTTTAGTATATTTTTATTTGATAATTGACGTTTTGTTGAGTGACATTGGTGTAGTGATTTTTTTTAATTTTTTTAATTGATCGAAAACCGTATGCAGGGTAAGCTGATTAAATTAAAAGCAGCTATTTGTGCGTCAAAGACGTTTTTTTTTATTTCAGTACTAATTTTAAAATGAAATTTTAATGATTTTTATAGAATTATTTATATTATTTAGTGTATATCAAAAAATACATAGCAATATTTAATTATTAAAAAATATAAATATATATTGATTTATTTATTTATATTTGTTTAGTGAATAAATTTATTTGTATTAAAATTTGATTTTTATTGTCTTCTCAGAGTTATATTACATTTCTTAATAATAAACATTAGAAAAAAAAAAATATATTTATCCGTTAATACTTGAAAAAATTATTTGTACTTGGCTTTGATTAACGATAACAAATTCTTCGAGTATTTAAAATCAACAACTTATTAAAGAACAAAAAAAATGAAAAAATAATGAAAAGGAAAAATGTCTAACTGTTCTTCGTATTAACTTTCATAATTACACTTTTAACTTCTGTGTAAGCGTCAAGACCATACTCTCCGAGCTCACGACCATGCCCGCTCATTTTGTACCCACCAAACGGTACTTGGTTCGCCAGAACGTTGTAAGTATTGACCCTGTAAAATAATTTTTAATTATTAAGAGATAAATTTTATTCAGAAAAATATTTTGATTAAAATAAGTTTACCAGACGGTTCCAGCCCTCAGTCCTTGGATAACATGATTAGCTTTATCGATATCTTTCGTAAAAATAGCAGCAGCTAGTCCGTAATCTGTTTTGTTAGCACGTTCTATTACTTCATCTAGATCACTGAATTTTAATATTTGCTGAACTGGTCCAAAGATCTGTTGAGTTAATTTGTTTTACAATCAAGTTAATTAACAATTTTTTTTTTTTTATTATTGACATTTAAAATAAAATATCTACTTCTTCACGAGCAATAGTCATTTCATCCTGGACATCAGCGAATACAGTAGGAGAAATAAAGTACCCTGCACTTCCGACTCTGTCTCCTCCAGTAACTAATTTAGCGCCTTGTTCTTTTCCACTTTTAACCATCTCAAGAATTTTATTCATCTGCTCTTCGTCAATTTGAGGACCATGCTCAACATTAGCATCGAAGGGGTTTCCTACAGTTCTTTTCTGAGCGCGGATACCACTTTTTTCAACAAACTCATCATAAATATCGTCCTCGACAAAGGTTCGAGATCCAGCGCAACAACATTGTCCCTGAAAGATATTAATTGAACAGATAAATGAATATTAATTTAGCAGATATTTGGCAATTTTTAGAATTTTTATAACTAATAAATTACAGTAAAAAAAAATTGACATGTAGAAATTAAAAAAAAAAAAAACAAAAAATTCAATTTTTTTTTATTATTTTCTGGAATAAATTTATTTGTTAAATAAAAAAAAAGACCATTCGGCAGCCGAAATGAAAGTAGATTTCTCGATTAAAAAAACGTATTTTTTAACTTCCCCCTAAGAAAATTGAATTTTAAAAAATTGCGAAGTTATTGGTTTCATCCCGATTTTCGAAAATCGAATATACGAAGAGCTCAAAAAATGAATAGATTTTCGAGCGTTACGCTCGAAAATAAACGAGAAGTTCCAGGAATGTCCTGAAGGGTCAACCGTTTTCCAGATTTCTTTTTAAATAATATTAATAAAAATATTCAGCTTCTGTGACGATAAAACAATAACATCAAAACGAATGCAAAAGTAAAATTTCTTTAAATCTTTCTGAGAAAGTAGGTAATTTTTCGCCTAGACTGATGGTGAGGTATACAAATTGAAGTTTATTTAAATAAGCTTTCAGATGCAATTTACAAAAATTTTACAAATTATCGCACTCATTAGTTATTTCGCAAAGAAACACTAAAATTGCCAATTTTCGAAGGATTTTGAAGAATTTAAATTTCTGTCATTCTTAAACTATTTGATTTGGAAAAATAAATAATTATACAAATTAAAGCTTATTAAATAAGCTTTCAGATGCAATTCACAGAAATTCAATATGACATCGCATTTAAATTAATTGTAATTGCATGAGAATAAGGTAAAAGTGAAAATTTTTGCGATTTTTGAAAATTTTTGAATTGCTCTCAATTCTAAATTAATCGACAAATTTGGCTCAACTTAGAACTTAACTTCGGAAATCGTCCTAAAAATAAGTATGTTACGTTTTTTTAAGATCCGTATATAATTGCGGAAGTTAGAGAAGAGACAAGGCTGATATATATAAATACATACATATATAAACTTTTGAACCATATGTATTTTCTGAATCCGCTTGATGAGCTTAGTCGAAATATAGCAAAATTTTTCAAAAGTTCCGTCATGAGGACCAATGCAATAATTAGATTTCTATGAAATCTACTAATAAAAAAACGATCAAGTGATTGATAATTTTAATTTCATAATAGATAAATATGAAAAACAAGTAATTAATTAATAAAATGACCTACCATGTTGAAGAAAAGACCAAAGTGAGCAGTTTCAACGGCATGAGTCATGTCAGCATCTTTGAAAATAATATTCGGGGACTTTCCACCCAATTCCAAGGTAGTTCGCTTTAAATTACTCATCGCAGCACCTTGCTTCACCAGCTTACCAACTTCTGTTGATCCAGTAAACGCTACTTTGTCTACATCATCATGAAGCACCAACGCTTCGCCGGCTTTACCGAATCCGGGGACAACATTGACTACTCCCGGTGGAAATCCAGCTTCTTTTACCAACGAAGCCAGGTACAAGGCCGTCAGAGGTGTCTGTTCAGCGGGTTTTAAAACCACAGTGTTTCCTGAAGATCAATTTTCATTTATTTTATAAAAATACTAGCTAATTATTACTGAATAAAAATATCTAAAAAAATTTAGACGTACCCGTCGCTAATGCTGGTCCCAATTTCCACGCCATCATCAGCAACGGAAAGTTCCAGGGTATAATTTGACCGCAAACTCCAACAGGTTCATGTCGGGTGTAAGCGAAGAATTTACCATCCATCGGAATTACCTTGCCATGGTTTTTGTCAGCCCACCCGGCGTAGTATCTCAGAACACTAGCACTCTGGGGCACGTCGAACCCGTACGATGCTGTGAAAGGCTTACCGTTGTCCAAAGTTTCCAAGGACTGAGTAAAAATTAATTAATTAATTTATCAATTAATGACTGTGCGACAAGACTTGCGTCATTGATAATTGATTACGTAAATAAATAAATAAATAAATAAAAATTGTGCAATAAATATTGACAGATTGCGCAATAACGCGTACATACCGCGAGATATATATGATCCCGTTCTATTAAATCAGCCAGCTTATGAAGAAGGACACCGCGTTGTGAAGCGTCCATCGTTCTCCATTTTGACCCAAGTTTAAATGCTTTGCGAGCTGCTTTTACTGCCAAGTTAATGTCTTTGGTATCGCCTTCTTGTACCTCGGTGATTACTTCGCCGGTTGTCGGGTTCACGGTGGTAAATGTCTTTCCTGATTCGGATTTTCGCCATTCATTGTCAATGAATAACTGTAATATAAATATTAATTGTCATTAAAATTAATTTACCAGATATTTGATAATTTTTAGAATTTTTTATGACATTAAAGTTAGCAGTCACTTGACAGTTTTTTAATTTTATTTAACAAAAAAATTTGTTCCAAAAAATTATTATTAAAAAATTGCATTTATAATTTTTAAAATTTTTACATGTCAATTTTTTTTGTAGCAATTTATTTCTTAAAAAAATTCTAAAAATTATCAAATATTTGCTACTTTAATTATTATTATTATTATTATTAAATATATGCTACATTATTTTTTATCATTTTTTTAATAAATATATTATGCCAAAAAAAATAAAAAAAAAATCGACATGTAGAAATTTAAAAAAATTATAAATGCAATATTTTCTAGAATAATTTTTCAGAAAAAATTTATTTGTTCAATAAAATTAAAAAATTATCGTGTGGCTGCTAACTTTATTGTCATCAATTGTCATTGTTAGAGTGTAAAAAATTTTATTTATTAGATAAGATAAGGAAAATTTATTTACCCCAGCGTACATGATCGAAGGATTTGTGTCTGGTGCCGGTAGTGCTGACGAGAAAGCCCTTAAGGGCTGGATTCTTTTGATAATACGCAGCATTGTTGACATGATTAGAATGATATGTAAGATGAAGAGTAGTACTTGCTTTGCTAGAGGTGATAATAATTAACTTGAACCGGTAACTGACATGAGCGGCGAGATAGCGACTGAAGTAAGCGAATATCAGTCACGATGTTATAAAAAAATTATAAATATTTTCATCAATTATAGTTAGTGATAGGAAAACAGCAGCGTCATCTGCAACTTTTTCACCAGTTTTCTGTGTGCGCATGCGGTATAAATACCCGCGTAATAACAAATTTATTATAAACTAGAAATTTAAATTGCGCGCTTCTCAATTGAGAAGTTCGATACTAAACTAATTAGGTCCACTTTTTCAATTCAGGATAAAAGTATTATTATTATTGCCAGTATATTTATATCCGAACAAAAACAGTTTCACTGTAAAAAAAATCGCGCCAAGTCCGTTCATAAGACTATTTGGATCCCGCTCTACCCCATCGGATTTCTCTGCGAGGGCATTGTTATGCTCCGCAATATTCCCTACTTTGAAGAAACAAAGAAGTACAGCATTGAGTTGCCCAACTCCTGGAATTTTTCATTCTACCTGCCGACCTTCATGAGGATTTACTTGCTGATGTTCTTCATTCCCGCTCTCTACATGATGATGTCTCACATGAACAAGGCGAGGTATCAGAAGCTTGGCAAGAGCAAGGAGCGAAAGGTTGTCGCGCAAAAGTACAACTCTGTGTTCTACGCACTCAATTTCTGTTTAGTTGTCGGTTTTTCTTTATTTTATTATTTCAAAAAGAGTATTATTAATTAATTTTTTAATTTACATCCAAAGAATTCTTGTTAAATATATAAAGATTGAATTTTAATTATGATGGTTAATAAAATTTGCTATTTCTCAGATTTTTAATCACAAAAAAAAATTTATTATTACTACTTTATAAAAATTAAAAAAACAATTTTGGAACGTACTTGGTGTGCGTCATATTGTGCATTTCAATTTTTTTAAAGTCCTAGTAAATAGATTTTACGAATTTAATTAAAAGTAAAATATTTCGCAACAACGCACACTAAATACGTTCCAAAATTGTTTTTTTAATTTTTATAAAGTAGTAATAATAAATTTTTTTTTGTGATTAAAAATCTGAGAAATAGCAAATTTTATTAACCATCATAATTAAAATTCAATCTTTATATATTTAACAAGAATTCTTTGGATGTAAATTAAAAAATTAATTAATAATACTCTTTTTGAAATAATAAAATAAAGAAAAACCGACAACTAAACAGAAATTGAGTGCGTAGAACACAGAGTTGTACTTTTGCGCGACAACCTTTCGCTCCTTGCTCTTGCCAAGCTTCTGATACCTCGCCTTGTTCATGTGAGACATCATCATGTAGAGAGCGGGAATGAAGAACATCAGCAAGTAAATCCTCATGAAGGTCGGCAGGTAGAATGAAAAATTCCAGGAGTTGGGCAACTCAATGCTGTACTTCTTTGTTTCTTCAAAGTAGGGAATATTGCGGAGCATAACAATGCCCTCGCAGAGAAATCCGATGGGGTAGAGCGGGATCCACACCGTGTACCTCAGCCAAGTTAGCAGAGGGATATTCACTCTGAACAATTGTGCTATGTAATAAGGATATCGGAAAACTTCGACAAGACTCCAGACGAAAAATAAATAAAACACAACGGGCTTTGTTTGCATCCGTTCTTCCGATTCAATCATAACAAACAGGATAAACGCACGCCCACCGACTTGGATGAACGCTATCAAGGCGCTTCCTTTGGTGTATCCGAATATTGGATGCATTACTTCCAGGAATTGCATCAGCTGTGTGAATTTCAGTAATCTCCCGACGCTCTTGTACGTTTGTTCCATTGATTCTATTGGGAAACCATTTTAATTATTATTTATTCATCCAGTGAGAAGTTTAATCATTTTTAAGTAGTCATATCAATTACCTGGACCATCTCTCGAGTATTTTATTCCCATGATGATCAGAATGTAGAGGAATCCAATGAATTGAGATAAATTGTAGAACGCTAGATAAACTTTTTTATAATCCTCTGTAAATAATTTAATATTTTATCAACTATCTCAAAAATAATATATTAAACTAGCAACCTACAGTTACTATATGACTGCCGAGATTTACGAATTATGAATAAGAAAATTTTGGCTGAATGATTTTTTTATATTTATAATCACACCGGACATAGATTGAGTACTTTTTAAATAAATTTTGAAAATAATAGTGCACAGAAAGAAAAATTTCTTGACTGGAGAACAAAATTCTTGACTCAATAACATTTTTGGGTGCCTTAAGGAAGACCAAAGTTGTGTTGGTCGAAGTAAAAATTTTTCTTGAAATTCTATTCTTGGTAGAAGTAATTTTTTCTTCATTCAAATTATCATAAATACTTAACACAATAAATTTTTATATTTGATTAAGATTTTTAGATACTTTAGGGAAGCAGCGCTACCTACTTCAGTTGAGAAAAAAATTTTCTCACCTTGAGAAAATTTTTCTCTTGAATATTTGATACTTATTTTATATTATTTTAGCGTGCAATTATACATATTGAATGAAAAAAAAAAAATTATCCAATATTATTTGGTCTTCCCATTTGATATGTTAATCAATAAAAATATTAATGAAAATTTAATTTTATCGAGATATTTAATTTTTTGGAGCAAGAGAGAAATATTCTCAAGACAAGGAAATTTACTTCTATCAAGAACTAAATTTGATGGAGCAAGAGGCTGAATTTTCTCAAAGCAACAAGATTTTTTTGACTTAAATAAATTTTCTTGGATCAATATACATATTTTTTAAAGCAAGAGAATTAATTTTGTTGGAATAAGTGAAATTTCATGTGTCAAAAAAAATTTTTCTCCCCTCCGTGCGGAAAGCGTCAATTTTCTGCTTGCTGCGCTAAACGAAAATGCCGCTTTCCGCCTCCGTCGAGGAGAAAAATAGTATTCTCACCACGGGCAGGAAATAAGAAAGCCTCAGATCACATGTTTGTCGACCTCGGCTTCGCCTCGGTCAACAATTACATGTAATCTGAGACATTTTTTATTTTCCTGCCCCAGGTAAGAAAAATACTATTTTTTTTCGCTCAAGAAAATAATTAGGGAGAAAAATATTTTCTTGGCTCAAGTTAACCTTTTTTTCTGTGTGCTATCACAGAATCAATTGAGGAGCTGATTTTTAATAGAGTATCTTTTCATATTTTAAAAGATCAGTTTTCTGAACTTTTAAATATTAATTACTTTGAGAATTATAAAAATTTAAAATCCATTTTATCATATAAATATACTGGCCACAAAATTTCGCTTATTCTCTTAATAATATAGATTATTTTTTTTTACCCTTTCGGTATCCCAGCTCTTCCTTGTGGAGTTTATCATACATGTCAGGATAGTCTTCATGGATATCTCGTTTTTCAAACTCTTCCCTGTGGATTCTATCATTCAACCCCGCGTACTGCTCGCTCAGTTTTTTGAACACTGGCTTAGGTACTTTTTTATCCTTGCTACACAAGTTTTTCTTGGTCAGTTTGTCTGAATCCGGAATCACCCAGGAAGGATCCGAGTCTTCGCAGGTCAAGCGCGGCCATTTTTCATCAGACTGCTTTTTTAAAATAAACTGCAGCTGATGGTCTATCAGGTCATACACATTTTCCTGTAATTATTCACCAAGTTAATAAAAAAAAATAATAATAAATAAAAATTAATTTAGCACATGATTAATAATTTTAAGAATTTCATAACAAATAAATTACGGCAAAAAAAAAAATTAGAAAAAAAAAATTGACGTAGAAATAAAAAAAATATTTTTTTAAAATTGGAATTTTTTTTTAATTATTTGTAATAATTTTTTCAATAAAAAAAAATTCTAAAAATTTTTAATGTCGGCTAACTTAATTTTCATAAATGCAATTTTTTAAAAATAATTTTTTGGAACAAATTTATTTGTTAAATAAAATTAAAAATAATCCAGTGATGACTAACTTTAATGTTATTAAATAAAAATAAACACTTACTGTACGGTCAGTTGGTTTGTAAAAATTTAGAGTAAAGTTATAATTGACAGGAGTGTCATCGCCAGGTTTGAAAGCTGAAAAATGCATGCAGTCATCTTCGAAATGAATCTCTGATCCCTGTTTAAAATTATTTATCATTAATTATGTGTAATTAAAGTAATTAATTTTAAGTAAATCAATACCTGAGGATCATTGATATCTATTCTTAAATAAATGTCACCATTTGTTTGATTCCAGTAGACTGTAGGACTTTGTACATTGGACATTATTAAAATGTAAATTGTACAGATGTTATCAGCTGAAATAAATAAATAATTATTTAATAAAATGTACAATAGACTTTTTTGTGTACAATTATTTATAATTACCGGTGTTGTTTAACCAGACATATGTTGTCAAGTTTATTTTTTTAAGTGACCAGAAATAAAATTTATAATTATTTACAACAATGATAAAATTGGAAAGATGACAATATTATTGTTTTAGAAGAAACTTTTTTGAATAGATGAACCCGTTCTTTCTTTATTAGCGAGAATAGAATGTTTATTTTTGTCTACTTATCGACGTAGCAACTGACTGCAAGGATAAATCAATACTGTTCATTTATTTCTCGAAGTTTCCGCGTGACACTAGCAGCGCTCGAGTAGTGGTCGGTGTATAAAAAATTTAAAAACGTATATATAATAGGTTCAATGATCTAAATCAACCCCTGGTGAAATAAAATACTATGAATAATTTTGTGATAGATTTATTCATACGGATATATTTATATCTAATAAAGTAATAAATGTTATTTTTATTACAATTTCGTTTTTGGGTATTGTAATATTTTTATTTTGTAAAATAGACTGTCAGAAGTTTATGAAAATAAAATTTGCTGACATCTAAAAATATTTAGAATTTTTTTTTAATTGAAAAAATTATTACAAAAAAATAATGAAAATTAATTTAGCCAATATTTAACAATTTTAATAAATTTTTTAATCTATAAATTGCTGCATAAAAAAAATGAGAAAAAAATGGACATTTAGAAATTTTAATAAATTAAAAATGCAATTTTTTTTAAAATAATTTTTCAGAACAAATTTTTTTTGTTAAATAATATTAAAAAATGGTCAAGTGACAGCTAACTTTAATAAAAAAATTAAAAAAAATTTTATTTATAAAAAATTTGAAGAACTGTAAGTGTAATTAAAAAAAATTTTTTTTTAGTTCTAATTTAATAAATTAAGCAAAATAAAAAATATCGGCTAACTATAATATTAAAGTTAGAACTAAAAAACATTTTTAAAAAATTTCGCTTATAGCTTTTCAAGTTTTTTACAAATGAAAATTTTTTTTTATTTTTTGTAATAATTTTTTTTAATAAAAAAAATTGTTAAAATTTTTGAATGTCGGGTAACTTAATTTTCAACGACTAACTTTATTATTATCAGAAGTTTAAGATAATTAACAACTGAAAAAAGATGAATGTTATGAATTAATCAACAAGTTTTCTATTTCAGAATAATGAAAATTTTTTTTTATTTTTTTGTAATAATTTTTTTTAATAAAAAAAATTGTTAAAATTTTTGAATGTCGGGTAACTTAATTTTCAACGACTAACTTTATTATTATCAGAAGTTTAAGATAATTAACAACTGAAAAAAGATGAATGTTATGAATTAATCAACAAGTTTTCTATTTCAGAATCAACATCGTTAAGATTGATATAAAATTACTGACAAGAACAAAATAAACGGGGAAATAATAGCAGAGGGTGAGAAAATACGGTGTAATGATTCTAGAATATTCGAATAATATAATTTCTCGACTTATTTAAAGTTAAACTGGGACATGTGATAATTATAAGATTCTTATAAAAATTTTATGAAAAGATTCATGATACTAAAAATAAACAGACATTACAATTTTCAGGAATTTTTTAGAGAATAAATTATTACAAAATAAATTTGTAAGAAATTTATGAAAATAAAGTTAGTTGGCATCTAAAAATTTTTAGAATTTTTTTTTATTGAAGAAATTATTACACAAAATTGAAAAAAAATTTTCATTTGTAAAAAACTCAAAAAATTATAAATGAAATTAAAAAAAAATATTTTTTAGTTCTAATTTAATAAATAAAAAAAAAAATAAAAACGACGGCTAAATTTAGTATTATAAAAATAAAAAAAAAATTATGAATGTAATTTAAAAAAAAAACTAATAAATTTTATAAAACATTTTTAGAAATTATAAGTTTTAAGTGCAAATAGCAGAAGATATTTTAAAAAATATCTAAAATTAATTATAATGAGTAAGATTTAATGAAAACTCAGATAATAAATTAAAATATTGATTTGCTCAGAAGCCTGCACATGAAGACTATTCAAAATTGGTGATTAATTGGTGATTGACGTGGGTATTGAAATGGATATTACTTGGAACCGTTTAATTAAAACCGATAGAGAATTATTTTTTATTTTTATTACAGAGTCCAGGAAATTAAACGAATAAATTATTGATTTGTCTGGAAGAGCATAGGCGATGAAATTAGTGATTGTGATTATCAACGGGCATAAAAAAATGATCAATATAAAATATAAAATGATTTACACACAACAACAAGCCTCTAAAAGAGGATTCTTTTGAGAATTTATTGACCGAAATAATAACTAAAAATAACTTTGGACATGATTATGAAAACATGGTATTTTCCTAGGACCTTAATACCCAAACATCTGTTGGAAAACTGGCTCTGAAAATCTAAAATCGGTGGAATCAATAGGCTGTTTTTTTTTAGATTTTCACCGAGAAAAATAATGTAAAATAGAAGTAACGTTACAGTATTTGTCACAGTGAATAAAACTATAGCAAAATCGATTGAAGTTGGCGGGTGAAGAAAAGAGCTGTTTGGTCACCGGGAGTAACCGGAAACGGCTGGTAAAGCAGTCGTATGGGTATAGCTAAGCTATACTAGGTAAAAAGCCTTTGAGACTGCTGACATATAACTAATATCGGTAAGAATATTACAATATTATATTTACCTTGAAATTTTCCATGCATAAAATTTGTCACTGCGGCAAAAGTCTCACCATTAATCCTCGATCATCCATCCTCCCTTTATTTCACAGGGTACTTTGCAGCATAATTTTGGAAATAAACCCTCGGGTATTGTTCTCGGACACGTTCAATAAATCATTTTAAAAATCCTCGATTGAATTCGGAGCGATCGAAGAAAATAATTTCTAACGTAATACAAGTTAGCTGGCGTAGAAGGGAGGCGGCTTTCGAAAGATCATCTGGCACACGACAAGTGTGTTCTTGCAGCTGCCATGCTGGATATGCCGGGTGCCGTTGATGGCGATGCACACACGCCCGTGTCATAATCACCACCGCGGTACCTACGTCAGTTTCGAAAATCTCTGACCTTGAGACGCGTGACTGCTGCTTGCGCCTAAAAGAATATAATAATAACCATCCACATCTCCAAGTAAAGGTAATACCAAGACTACTTACCTGGATATTACTTATTCCTCAATCCGCTGTTTTTTTTATTTTTTTACTTTTATTTTTATTCCAGCTCCTCGACTCGTTCGTGCAGAAGCCCACTGCACACTCTCAAGCCAATACCTCATCTCCTCAACTAATTTAACATTCATTATCATTTAATTTGGGGCTTCGTGATGCGTGATGTGTTTTCGTGATCCTTTAAACCGACGTTCGATTTTACAAGATAATTTTGCCAGTACACGGATATTTTTCCTTATCTTCGCTCTAATAAAACCAAAAACGTGAGCCTATTTATTCAATTACCAATTAATTATAATAATAATAATAATAATAATAACAACAACAACAGTATCAACAGCTTAACTTTCATATTTATTTATTTTACTGAAAACAAATCAATAAATTAAATTTAATGGCCTTTTTAATAGACACGTACCAAATTAAAAGGAGGAATAATAATAAATTTTATAAAGATCTTTCCTAAAACATATTTTCTATTGATGTTTTCTGTTAAGCAATAACAGCATTATTTATCGATAATATTGTATGATATAAATATAAATATAAAAGATGTAAACCTAAGTATAAGATCTAATTTAGTTAGATGGACGAGTAGAGGTTTGCAGTCTGACGAGGATTGTGGAGGTCTGGTATCCTGCAGCTAAGTTTAACGTATCGTGCGGGTGCTCCGGTTCGTACAAAAGCGTAACCCCAGGTAAGCGTCGCTTTCAGGTCTCAGGTAACCAACATAAGCCAGGTACGCCAGGTGGTACCGTTTCCTTTTTTGTTATTTATCATTTTTTATTTTTTATTTTTTATTTTCACTCTTCCTCTGTCCTCTGTCTCTCACCTCGCCTCGTCGATTCTCTACTTTACTCTGTCTACCAACACCACACAGGTACTACCATCCACTCAAACATCTATAGTACCCTGTATACTTAATATTTTATTTTATATTTAGTTTCTCAGGGATCGAGGACCACGAGGACGAGCTCGATGTAAGATCGACCAGCTGTTTCGGGCCCGTCTTCGTCTGAGTTTAGTTTGTAAAGGACGCAGAGCCCTCATTGTCAACTGAATAGCAGCTAAACTCGCTTTTTTCACTACCTTACTATTCCCAGCCTCGATTGAAACAGTTTGCTCCAAATAAAATATTAATCTTTCGTCTTCAATCCCGGTTCTGTTTGCCTTCTTGAAAATGGATTAAAACGAGCCGGTGGTTGGTCCCAATTAAATATTTTATTTTTGAAATATCAAGACATTATTATTTGTCCTACACGGAGAGAAAAATGTGGAAATCATTCCTATAATTTTAATGAAATATTTTCCTGTACCATTTTAGGAGCGATTACTTAAATTATCGGAATTGTACCCATAATTTTTTTTGCACCCAACTTCGGTATTTAATTAATTATTTTTAACTGAGTTAATTTTTTTTTTTGATTAAATGATTCTTTTTTTATAATATATAAATTGATAAAAAAGTTATCAGTAATAATATTTATTATTATTAAATTAATCAGTTGTAGCAGTTGATATTTTTTTAATTTTTAATGGTATACATTGTAAATTAAAATAAAATTTCTTAAACAAAATAAAATTTCCAATGGTTTTAAAATTCCAAATTTTCACATGTTTTCGCGGCTCAACGTATGTATTGTAAATAAATAATCTGCTTTAAAAATAAAATGAAATTGTAAAAATAAACAATGAATTTCCATATCTATTTTGCTCCTCTAATTGTATAGTGAGAAAATATCCCTTTTATTAGAAAAACTTTAGAACTGCTACAATATTTTTCAAT